TTCACTTCTTTAAGGTGGACTTTTTGTAAAATTTAGTAAACGTTAAAAAAAAGGGAGAAATAGGTTTCATTAGACTTAAGCAAATTGCTTAACCTCTTTGGGCCTCAGTTTCTTCACAGGTTAAAATTGAAGAGTTGTAATTGATGGGCTCTAAGGTCCCTATGATAATTATAATTCCTTCTACTTAGTTCTACTTTGATCTTAAAAAAAAAAATCTATTTCTGGTTCATTGGAGTCCCTTTGGACACTTAGAGTCATTAAGGAGTCCTCAGAAAGCATTTCAGGATTTGGTTCTGGAGTAACAATTTTGATAGAGAATTCTGTGTACATCAGTGATGCGAGTGTCTTAAGTTGATAACATCTGCATTTAAGTGGAGCAATCACAGTGGAAATCTAGGAACATTTATTAGAAGTCAGAAGTTCCGGGTTTGAACCTAATTGGCCACATGTTAACTAAGTGACCGTCTATGAGTTATTTCAGTTTTCTCATCTGTAAAAAGATAAGAACCACCAATAAGTAGCTTCACCTTTTTTTTTGGTAACTGGCAGTGTTCACATAGAGGAGATACATCCCCTCCCACATACTCCTTGCATTCCAAAGACAACTAAAATTGGATTACTTGGCCATCATTAGGTTAAAAAAAAAAAATGATATGTCACATTTTATGGAAACACAAACCAGAGCTTCCAAACGAGTGGGCCATAGTACCACACGGCGCTACGTGAGGGTTGGTGGTATATGGACACGTTGACCTCCTGTTAGTCAGCCCCAGTCAGGAGGGGCCAGGAGCTGAAGCTCTCAGGGAAGGTCTTTCACTCATCTCACTATGTCATATTATCACTTTCTATGTGTGCTATTATATGAAAAGATTTGTGAAAGATTGCTGTTGATTATTATGCACCATGGAAATATTAACTGATTTTACTTAGCTTTGAAATTTTACTTTGCAAAGACACTCATATCTATGGTTAAAAACATGTATGTGTGCTAGCCTTTACTCAAGACAAAGATGCTGTTGATTACAAGCAGGAGCTGTACTTTAGATATTTCAATTGATGTAGTTTCTTCCTGGAGTTTTGAGAAGAAGCTGTTTACTTATCTATCTCCCTTCATGAGAATAGAAAAACAATTCCCAGGTCCAAGCACAGTGCCTTGAGCAAGTAGGCATCCAATAAATATGTGTTGAATGAATGAGTTATATAAATGAATGAACAAATTTGTACAATATCATCCATCATTCCCAACCAATCCCACTTATAACTGATGGCAAACATCTGAAATTGAGATAGTTGTGACAAGAAAAAGGAGGACTCAAACTGGTAGCTTTGACCTCATTAACACCAGGCTTTTACCAACTGAGGTAACTAATCACAAGCATAAATGCTTTACCTCAAAGTATATATTTGTATTTTCATTGTTGATGTCCTATTAAGGTTAGGGGATTCTTCAGTTTAGAAATGAGATAAAGGGACTCTATATTTTTGTCACAACATTATGCTCAGTGAATAATGAGGTGGCTCCAGTGTTCTTCTTAGGTCAATAAAGGAAAGAATATTTATTTCTCATTTCTAAAATGTTTCTACAAACAATAACATTATTGAATAGTCTGCTCTAACGTCTAAGCCTCAATCATATCATATCAGAAGGAACTTCTAATAGTATAGCCCCTTCTCCCCACTTCCCTTTGCTAACTGATACAGTTCTGATAGAGGACATACAGCTCCATTACACATATCCCTTGCATTCGACAGACAGCCAGGATTGGCTTATGCAAGCATCTTTATACCTAGCTGTCTATAGGATCAGAAAGACTTTCAGTTTCCAGTGTGACCGTATCTGCCTCTATCTTCCTACCCAGCTGTGATTACACGCAGGCACGGAATGATAGTCCTCAGAGGCCTACCATAGCATATTTCGGACAGCCTGGGAAACCCAAAACAGAAGGTGACAGTGATATAATATGATTAGACAGTAAGTAAAAGGCAGAGATTAATGGAAAAGAAGCCAGTTGAAAGATTACATATATTTGAAAAGATGGCTGGGAAAAGGATCATGCAAAACACGAATTTTTCACGATTTAAACACTAGAGATGAGAAATTGAACGCTTCTAACTTTGGATGTGCACCAGAATGGACTCCAGACAAACGTATTCTCTATTGCTGTAGCCAGGGCAAAATCACTTCTTGCTCAGCATGGCAGAGAACACATAGGCTACAAAGCAGGCAGGGCAGATTATCCAAATACAGACTGTAAAAGGAAACATTTTCCCCATACGGCAATATATTTTCTTTGGGGATTTACTTGAAACCTTGTATGAGATGCAAGGCTTAACAACATATTCCTTTAACTTTTGGTTCTAGTTTTTAATACTGATCCATTAGTATCATTTAGAGGCTCAGAGAGTGGGGCCAGTAGCCAAACTGTAAGTCACAAACTGCTGTGTGACTTTTGATGAGCCACGTTGAGTCTCCAGTCACTTCTTCTATAAAATAGGGATAATAATACCTAATTTATATGGTAGTTCTAAGGATTGAGTTAATCCATCTGAAGCACTTAAAACACAACCTGGCATACAGTAAGTACTCAAGAAATGTTAAATGTCATTATGACTATTATATATCAATTATAAAATGTTGTAGAAATATTAAACATTATTATCCAGGCAAAGCTGGAAAAGCCTTTTGCTTCACCATTATCGGCCCATTTCCAAGAAGGAGGGAAGGTAGCATTTCCGAATCAGTAAATCGCTTTGGTATGTAATAATGATAGTGATGTCTAGAGATATGAGGGAAGAAGAAAGACTTTAACATAAAGATAAGAAGATGAAATAGTAGAAATGTTTACTGTAAGGGGAGACTGATGACCTGGATTTTACTCCTACCTGCTAACTCTCGGGCAGGTCAACTTCCCTTCCTCAGCTATAAAACTGAAATAAAACTTTTTTACTCCCGTTTGCCAGGTCTTCTGGACCAGCACTGCATCTTACAAAAGTTCCTGAGATATGATTAAGGCTGGGTTTAGCTTCAGGCCCATTGCAGGAGAGAGCAGTGCTTAAGAAAATGAACTCTGGGCCAGGCGTGGTGGCTCACGCCTGTAATCCTAGCACTCTGGGAGGCCGAGGTGGGCGGATTGTTTGAGCTCAGGAGTTCGAGACCAGCCTGAGCAAGAGCGAGACCCCGTCTCTACTAAAATTAGAACGAAATTAACTGGACAACTAAAAATATATAGAAAAAATTAGCTGGGCATGGTGGCGCATGCCTGTAGTCCCAGCTACTTGGGAGGCTGAGGCAGGAGGATCGCATGAGCCCAGGAGTTTGAGGTTGCTGTGAGCTAGGATGATGCCATGGAAAAAAAGAAAATGAACTCTGGAGTCACACTGCCTTGAATACAAATCAGGCTTTGTTAGCTGTATAACTTTGGACAAGTTACATCTCTTTAAGCCTCAGTTTTTTCCTGTATTAAATGAAAATTATAGCACCCAGCACACAGAGTTGCACTGATATTTAAATGAGAAAATGTAGAAACCGAACTTAGCACAGTGAATGGCACATAATAAGTGCTTAATAAATACAAACGAGGTACTGATGATGGCATAAAGGCTCTCACTAAATTATCTATAGTGCATGTTTATAATAAATATCACGTTCCTATTCACCTGCCACAATATTATCTTCATTAAGAAACAAAAGGAAGGACAATGCACCTAGAGACCTGAGTGTCCTAGTTCGGTACATGCTCTTTCTTGGTCGTCTATTGGTGAGTTCCCCCAGGTGTGAGAACGGAGAGGCTTCCAAACGTAAAAGCACATGACAGCTGTGGGAGTTAGAGTTTAGGCTTCCCTGGGAACTAAAGGTCTGTCAGATACTATAGAAACAACCTGCTTGACCTTTTGTGAGTGTTTGGTTCCAACAATGTGCACAGCATCTGTGCAGAAAAACCTCTTTGGTCACCTCCAGACATCACATTATAAAACCGTACAGCATGTCAACCGCTGTGGCTTAGAGCTGGCAGGAGGTGTTCAGTTCTAGGACCATGGGGCCCCAGGCTAGCAGCCAGAATATCATAGCTGGAAGGTTGTATGGTTATTTTCCATTTCTTCCGCTACATCCATTCTTTGCCCTTGTCTGCCCTACTCTATGCCCAGGGAAGCTGAAGGCTGTTGACTCTATCTCCTGCTTTTCCCTCTCGCATCTGTTTGAGTTCGACTGGGGCTTGGGGGAGAGAGAGGCAACTGGCAGGAAACCAGAGGGCAGGAGTTGAGAAGGGTTGGGGTATTTATCCTGTGTACTCCTGCCCTATCTGTCATCCCCATAGGTTCCTTTAAGGCTGCAGCTCTTGACAGCCCCGCTTCGCTCTTGCCGTGTTCCAGTGACCCTGCTGCTTTCCCACTGCAGGCTTAGGGATGATAATTAACAGCTTCCTCACCTATTGCTTCCCTCAGCCCTGCTCACACCTTTGTAAATAATCCCTTCATTCAACTCTCTTCTGTTCAACCTTTGAATGTGGCTTATTTCCAGGTAAACTTAACCTTAGCAGCATTTACACATCCTGCACTGGACACATTTCTCTCCTCCAGTGGCTCTCCCGATGTAAACCATGGTAACAGTTGCTATTCTTTGTAAGTACTGCTACTGGTAATAATGGGCCTTTGTTCCTAACAGTTCATAATATTTCTATGTCCCTCAAATAATTTCTTCGATGTGCTATTTAAATCTTTACCCTTCTTCCCATTTTCTCTTAAGAGTTGGGGTAGAGGGAAATTTTATTTACTTTTAGCAGTTGGAAAGGTGGGACTGCTTCAGACAGCTGCTGATGGAACTGCATGAAAACCAGCAGTAGATGGGGGTCATACTACTGAATTATGTAGTTGTGGATCTGTTGATTCTTCTCAGTGAAATATCTAATACCAAAAACCAGTAATAAAATCTCTCCGTTTCCCTATCCTCAAGTCTGCTATTGACTGAAGTAAAAAACACATGTGACACCATGCCGAGTTACCTTGTACCACACAACGTCGGGCTCCTGATCGGACTTTTTAAAGTCATCCATGTCTGGGCAGGAGATCTCCTTTCTTTTTGTGACTTCAGATTTTTCTAAATAGCGGATCCTGCTGTTGTAGCACAGGCCTGATTCATTCTCTGCAACAGTCAAGGACATTGACACCTTCATGCAATATGTCGAGTTTCTGTAGGAACAAAGAAATAACAAAAGGGCTTTATTGGGTGTTTACAACTTTGTAATCTATACATTTCAAGAGTATTGACTTTCCCACTTACGGCCTTTCCTAAAAATCAAAAACATCATCAAAACAACACAGAGTAGTTTTCTACTTCAACTGACAGGAAGATAAGAAACAAAAGGCTAATGTGGATATCTCTAGCCATGAGGTAGCTACAGAGCTACACAGAGGAGCGATGCCCATTTTCGAAACTGGAAGACAGTTAGAATCCTTTGCCAGGAATAAACATTGCTGCATTGAAAATCTGATACTGAAAACCTGTGAGAAAGTTTCTCTATGACTAGAGCTATAGCCATTTCTACTCTGCCCCTGTGGCCAGCCCTTTAACAGTTATTCCAGGGGTCATTGAATTTTATCATCAGTTTCTAAGCCAACATTTCCTTTTAAAGAATATATACTAAAGACCAGTCTTTTTAAATGCCATGAATCTAAAGCCACAATAATAATAATAAGAATAAGTATCACAGAAGAAGGATACCATTTACCTCAATCAATTTTGCTCTTTTGGCCACGTTTTTAATACTTCAGTGGTAATTATTTCTATGCCTTCTTGCTTCCTACAAAGCTATACATGATCTAGCCCATCATATTATTCTCTCCTTCATGCAATAGGATGCAGCCACGTTGGCACTTTCTCTCTTACTTAACACACTAAGCCAATTCAAACCACAGGCCTTTGTACTTGTTCTTCTCTCTGATACTTTTTTGTTGTCAGAGGAAATGGGGTTTCATTCTGTCACCCAAGCTGACGTGCAGTGGCATGATGATAGCTCACTGTAGCCTCAAACTCCTGGCCTGAAGCAATCCTCCTGATATAGCCTTCTGAGTAGCCAGGACTACAGACACGTGCCACCCTGCCTGGCTAATTTTTTAATTCTTATAGAGATGGGATCTCACTATGTTGCCCAGGCTGGTCTCAAATACCTGGCCTGAAGTCATCCTCCCACATCAGCTTCCCTGAGTAGCTGGGGTTACAGGCATGAGCCAACATGCCTGGCTCCTCTCTGATCTTCTAATATTTATTTGGTAAGTACAAGCTAATAAGGGCAAAGAATTTGTTGCTCTTGCTCATCACTCTATCTCTGGAACCTAAATGAATAGATAGTAGGTGTTCAGTAAATGCTAGATGATTAAATAAGTGGGCCTCAAAAGGTATATATTTGAGAGCTATATCATCTCTTCTCCACTTTTCCATCAATATGGTATAATCCCTCATTTCATAAGATTCAGGTATATGGCTGGTCAAATATCACATTCCATATATAAATATAACCCAGATAATTAGCAGGTATTCTTGGACCAGCACTAGGAGAAGGGTTAGCCAAGTTTTGTGCATCACCATATTGGCAAAGAACAGAATATATTGGCTACATCTGGGAGACACGGAGGAATGGGACAGGGTTAGGAGATAGAGGGAATCTAAATGGTCATAGTTATTAAAAGGTATCTAACGCCAAAGAAAGAGAATCACCTCTGCTGGATATCCAAAGTGTTCGGAGCAGTTCTTGACATTACAGACTTTGATCATATCTGCTTCATGGTGCTCCTCGATGGAGGTGAAAGAGACTTACTTGTTAAATATCTTCCCATTATTATGTTATACCCCCATGGAAAGAAAACCATTGACCTGAGTTCTCAATAATAGAGGGAATAGGTGGAATGTCCAATGCCATGAAAGAATCTATCTCAAATATATTTAGCACTGGGCGACCAGTCTAGTATAGTGGTTTCTTAACAGAGCATCAGCTTTGATTTAAGTCCCTATAGGTTCAACTAGCTCTCTGACATGGGACAAGTTATTTAACCTCTCTGAGCTTCAGTTTCCTCACCTGAAAAATAAGGATGAGAAGTTCTTTATGGTGGCTCCATTGGAGGGGAGAGCAATGAGTTCCTTTCATTTCACGATTACGAGCAAAAACAGGGTAACATTTTTAGTTAGAATAATTATAACAACAGACCTCTTCAGACTGTTGTATCAAATTAAATAATATATTTAAAATACCTAATGCGGTAACTGGCACATAGCAGGCATGCAATAAATTGTAGCCGTAATTAGATTCATAGGGACTGCCAGCATTACTCTGCATATTGTTCACATACATATATAATAGTTACATATATACATATATGCATGTGTACATACATATGTATAATAAACATATATAATATATAATAATTATAATTTATATGTGATATAATAATCATGAACAATCACCAATATATAAAAACACCGCACTGGCAGAAATGGGTTAAGATAGACTCCTGGGTTAAGAGTGCTACTTGCCAGGAAAGAGTCTAGAAGCGGTCAGCTGGACAAAAGATCTAATATTAGAGAGCCATGTAGGTTTGAAAGAATCAGAAAGAAACAATGACTAAGGCACAAAAAGAAATGAATCAAAAGAAAGCAACTAAGGCAGGAAGGAACTTTCAGGTACTAGGAGTATTAGCTACTAGGCAAAGGCCAGAACCTCGGAGATTAAAGGTTAGTAAGAGTTTCACTAAACCTTCTGGGAGCTTTTTAGACAAATGTTTTCTATAATAAAGCCCAGACCCCTAAGTATGGTTTCCAGGTACAAGATAACAGATGCTCTTATGTGTTCATTCCCCACCTCTTGCAAAGTATAACTTACATAGGCAATGTCAGCAGCATTTGCATTGATTTAGGGTGGCAATAAGGGCAGGGGACCTACCCGGGGGATGACTGTTGAGTTGAAAAAGTGTTTTAGTCCTACCTAACCCTTATCTACAAATGACCTTAGGCCAGGGCACTACATGCATACACTCTTGCTCTATCCCTGACATGTGAACAGATGCTGACAAATTCCTTGTTAATCCATGAACAATTCTCAGTATGAAGTCATTGATGACGACCAAGGTCCCTGGAACTCAAAGACAAGGTCCGGTATGAGTCCTGCTGTCACCATGGGTGACCTGGGAGAGGAGTGATCAAGGCTGCCTGACAGTCTGAGACTCAGGTTGATTTTTATTAGTCATGTAATCCAGCCCTGACACAGTTCCTGAGAACAATCTTGCATTATTTACATTTTATTTTGAAAAATGCCCCAGGCTAGTTCTATTTAAAATGTTTCCTGCAACTGGGACCTAAAAATGTTACTTTTCTTTCATTAGGTACAATTAGAGCTGTGTAAGGTTGAGGAGGCAGACTGACGAGTGTGCAAGAATAGGGATTATATATTTTTTCTTTTCCCCTTCACATCCTGAGGAGGACAAGGAGCACATTCAGGCTCAGTGTAAGCAAAAGGCCTTTGCAATAATATTGCAGCAATAACTTACACTTATATACATTGGTAATCTTTCCAAGTATTTCCATATCTATTGTGGTACTTAATTCATCCAGTAACCCAGGAAAATAGGCAGGATAGGTATCACCTATACAAGTAATATGTAATCCAAGAGACTCCTAGAATTGATAAATTAATTCAGTAAAGTCTCAGGATACAAAATCAATAGACACAAATCAGAGGCATTCATATATGCCAATAACAGTCAAGCTGAGTATTGGGGGAGGGAGAGGACGTCTGTTGCTTGCAGCTGAATACAATTCCTAGCTGATACGCGTGCGCGCGCACACACACGCGCACACACACACACTCTCTCACACACACACACACACACACAAATTCAGGCTGCCTACCGTTAATTCAAAAGGAATTAGAGAGAAATCTTGGAGAAAAGATCATTTGGGTCAGCTTCAATATGAAGTGCTGATCAATGATTTTAAATAACCCTTGGAAAAGGCTTCAACTTCTTTTTTTCAAGATGTTTCCATAAGACATCTTTTAAAAGTAATTTTCCCACTGAATATGTTTCTTTTCTTTCCTTCAGAGGTTTACAAAAAGTTCTTTGTGCACTTTACTGAAAGAATTTAGCAAATACTCTAAGCTATGTTAGAAATACCTGTATTTTTATCCATCTTATAATAAACCTTTCACATTGTAGATTATGTTCTAATCTTTACCAGTGTTTTCTGTGTATTTACTGACAAAAGAATACATTTTATTTTGTCACTGAAAAAAAAAAAAGTAACATGTACACACAGAGAGGTCAAATGTTAATAACTTAGTCAAGCTGCTATAGCTGGTCAGTGGTTTGGAACCAAGGTTTCCTGGATGCTAGCCCCTAGCTACCCTCATAACTTGATACTAACATTGCTTAACAGCCAAACTAACTTGTCATTATCTATACCAACTTGGGGAGGCTGATAGAAAGAAAAGAAGATGTGTAAAGATAACATCTAAAGAATAATCTTAATATTTATACCACAGAAGAATTTGAAAATAAACCTCACTTTCTATTTTAACAGTTCAATATTATCTAGTTTAGTTCATAATTCATACTTTTTTCCCAGAGGTATTTCTAATGGAAAATGTTGACGAATCTTGGGTTCCCTGGGGAGAAAAGCAAGATTTGGGATTCAAAATACACACGAAAAATCCAAATGTTCCTTTCTAACTCCTATTTATTAAAACATGCTTATACCATAAAATCTAAAGTTCTACTTTAGAGTTTGAATTTGTTGTATCACCAGGACTAAGCTAGTAAAAAGAATCTAAATAAAATGGGGAACATTTTCATACCTAACACACGAAGCCCTAGATAAAATGCCTCAAGATATTGCTTAAACTTTTCTAAGTGATTTCTTCAGTTGTCTTATCTTCACTTCAAAATAATTTCCTTGCAAATTCCAGAAATCATCTAATGATCAGCAAACTAAAATATTGCTTTTTGACATTTTATAATGTGAATTGACTGCTATATATAGCTATCAATTAATCAATCAATCTGCAATGGATGAGATTGCCCTCCTCAAAACATAAACAATCACCTGATATTATAGCAAATTCAGGTAAGAGAAACAAACAAATAACTGAACAGGATCTCAAACCCTTTGATGAATTCTAGTTCTAAAAAATAATTAGAAAAAT